GTGTGAAATCAGCAGCATCTTCAGCTCAGACAGAAACACTGAAACACGACTGAAGTTTGGACGATTCGTCCGTCGACAGACTCGTTAAACAATCGTGTTTGGTATTTTGATATTTTGTGAAACAGCTGTGTGGAGCAAACTGCTGAAACCCCAAATTTTGATGTTTGAGATAAGAAAACCGTTAAAAGGACCATGTTTAAAATGGAAATGAAGTCAGAGTATGACCTCACTGACACGTCGACATTTGAAGGCAACGCGTCAGAGGCTGAAGCTCATCGGCTGCGGTTCATTTATTTGTTTTCAGCAGAAACTTTTCTGGTTTTGTGTTGCAACCTTTTAAAATCTGAAGCATCAAATGATTTTTACAATTGGTGTTTAGATGATTTGACCCTCCTGCTGCGTGCTCAGTCATCCAGGTAAGGAAATCCCGGGGCTGGCTCGTGTGGACGCGGCGTTTTCAGTGGGAGAAACGTTTCGTCATCATCCAGGTGACTTCTGAACAAGTCTGTTCTTCAGTCTTGACTTTAGTTTGTATTTCATGCAGTGGTCTGTTTGGAGTCGGAGTTTCTCATATTTATTAAAACGTCCACGTTTTTAAAGCTCGCGATGACGTCAGAGATCTTAGTGACGGGCTGATGTGGCGCTCTGGTCTCAGCTGTCTGTGAGCAGCAGCTCAAAGCTGTGCACGCTCCTCTCAGCCAGGGTTGCATCATAAATGTTCACTCGGTTGATAAAAGTGATAAAAGTGGCTGCAGCGTCGCCGCTCTGCCAGCTGGATGTTTGCTGTGAGCTCTCACGTTATAACAGCTGACCTGATTCTGAAGCAACTGTACACACAAACAGGCGATGAGGAGGAGGAGGAGGAGGAGTGTCGGCAGTGTCGGGAGGTTTGAGGATGACGTCGGCGCTGATGTGCTGGATCCAGCAGGGGAAAAGCTGAGTCCCTGCATGCAGCGCCTTTCAGCAATCTCATAAACCAGAGGTAGGCAACTCCAGGCCTCAAGGGCCGGTGTCCTGCAGGTTTTAGATCCCACCCTGGGTCAACACACCTGAATCACATGATTAGTTCATTCCCAGGCCTCAGGAGAACTGCAAGAAATGCTGAGGAGTCATTTAGCCCTTTAAATCAGCTGCGATGGATCATGGACACATCTAAACCTGCAGGACACCGGCCCTCGAGGCCTGCAGTTGCCCACCCCTGTCTTAAACGGTCGCATTCCAGGACGCTCACTGAGACGCTTCAACATCTGATTGGCTGTTACCTGACTGCACTGTCAGGTAACGACACGCCGTCATGCAGCATCCGCTCATGACAACAACCTCATTTTATTAAACCAGGCACAACTAGGTAATCCTCATCAGCCAATTAAAATGGAGCTCCGCCTTCTTGAACTTCCTGTTACTACAGTAACCTCACAGCAGCCATGTTATTGGTCAGATGATGTCATTAAAAATGTGCCAGAGTGCTCCAACAGCACAAACACAGTCCAGGGGTCCAGCTAGCAGCTACAGCCGCCTGTGTCGCCATCCACCTGTCAGTCAAAGAGGCCCCGCCCCTAATGATTCATGCAGTCATACAGGCTGTAACAGAGGCGGAGCCAGACATGAATCGCTGCTGCAGCCTCCAGTGGACGTTACAGGAACTGCAGCTGTGATGTTCCTCAGCCAAGTCTGCGGGTGGGGTCAACCCTGACGGCAGGTGGGTCACATGGTGCCTGTTCCCACGCTGCGTGGGTGTTAGTCAGTCACAAGTCTCCCATCAGTCCTGCAGACACCCAGTCACCCATTTCCCAGGAGGCTTTGGGGCCCTCAGGCTTAAGGATGCGGGGCGATCAGCCTGTTTCTGCTCTGCAGAGCAGCCATGTGTCAGGTGTTGGTGACTTCCTTCTGAGTGAACACGATGAATCAGGTTTTGTTATGTTATTGTTTGTCATATGTTTGTTAGGTTAAGTTATTTATGCTGCTGATCCAGGATCAGACCGCAGGACTGAAGGTGCTGCATTATTGTAGATTTCCCACCAAACCGCTGCTGACCCCTGCGTGCTGTTTGTGTTGTGCTCCGAGGCTAACTTCAGTGTTCAGCTCCTGAACGCACCGCAGTGCAGCTGCTGAGTCTCACACTGTCGGTCTGCACTGTAACGACGATTGTGACTGTGCAAACGGCGCCGCGTCGTTCCCCGCTGGGTCCCGGTGGAGTTGGTCGGTAATCCGTCCACAGCCGTCTCCGCCGTGTTTAATGGAGATTAGATGTGTTTATGGACCTCCTGAGGCGCCGTTAATCTCGTCGCTGCTCGCTCGCTTTGCTTTTTGTGTGCGTTTCTGTCTTTAGCCTCATTCAATTAAGTGAACTTTGGTGTTTAATCAGACACGCAGCAGGGACTGAAGCTGCATGTCTGGAGTGGGAGAAGATGTTAAAATGAAGTTTAAACCTCGGCCCCGCCTTCATTTGGTGTTTCCTCTGCTCGCAGGCTCAGATCGCCTTCCTGCAGGGCGAGAGGCGGGGCCAGGAGAACCTGAAGAAGGACCTGGTGAGACGAATCAAGATGCTGGAGTACGCTCTGAAGCAGGAGAGGTGAGATCCTTTTACCAGGGTCACATATTTCACATGCAAACACTTTGATGAGGAAACGAATCCTCTCTGCCCCGATCTGAACTCAAAGGAAAACGTTCGCTCACACTTGAGATGCGACGTTGGTTTGGGAGAGACCACGGCCGTAGAAACACGGGGGTGTTCCTCCCGCTGCCAACAAGAATAATCAAAGTTGTTCATAAACATGTCCTCTGTTTATGAACGTCACTCAGAACTGAAATATGAACCTTTTAAAGTTTCCAGCTCATGTTTTAGTTCCAGGTCCTGGTTTAGCTGCCATAGTGAAGGAGTTTCCATTCAACTCAACTTTATTTATACAGCACCAAATCACAACAGCAGTCGGCTCAAGGTGATTTATATTGTACAGTAGAGCCTACAATAATACATACAGGGACAACCCAACAATCACATGACCCCCTATGAGCAGTGCTTTGGTGACAGTGGGAAGGAAAAACTCCCTTTTAACAGGAAGAAACCTCCAGCAGAACCAGACTCAGGCCTATTAACACATAGTGAGTGAAGAAGAAACACCCAATGCATCATGGGAATCCCCGGCAGCCTACAGCTATTGCAGCATAACTAAGGGAGGATTCAGGGTCACCTGGTCCAGCCCTAACTATATGCTTTAGTCCATCTGAGAAGTAAAATGCATGAAGCCCGAATGAGATAAAGACGTTTGTGATATCTGTGTGTGTCCTCAGAGCCAAATACCACAAACTGAAATATGGCACCGAGCTGAACCAGGGAGAAATCAGACCTCCGAGTTACGACTCAGGTAAGAGTTTTTCTGACAGTTTTTCCCGTCTGCACAAATTCAGCGTCGTGTTCGGTCAGAGGCACGAATATCACAGTTTAAATTTCCAACAACACTAACCCATCTCACAATGAGTCGCCCCCTGCTGGCCATCACAAAGAAACGCAGCATTAGGATGATCTTCTTCACGCTTGCTGTGGTTCCTCTGCTGCTTGTGCTTCTGTCTCTTCGCTCCTCGCCTCCGAGTTTGATGCTGGGAGGAGCCTCTCTGCTGCCTCCCTGTGGACACATCAGAAATAAACTGGGCCTTTTATTTGCTCTCATCTGTTAACATGTGACGGTTCCCGGGAGGACATATTTCAGGAGAGGGGCATCTGCAGCACGATGCTTTGGGAATTCACGGGTGGATGGACG